GAAAACCAAAGCGGCTAGTAAGCCTGATCTTTATTAAATGTTGCAACAGTTTCCCCATTCCCCCCATGCAGGCGGGCAGAGAACCCGGAACAATGGTGCACAAGCCCTTATATAGACTTTTGAAATTGCCCATCCTGTAGCCCAAGGCCACCCCCCTAAAACATCATACATACATCACAGAAGGAGGAGGTCTCCGGCAGAAATCCTGTTTGCCAGGATACCTGATAATGGTCACTGATTGCTTGGCCATTCTTTTGTGATGGTTAATACTTCAGTTTCTGAGTCCAGGTCACAGGCTCACCCTATCCATACACAAATACGCCCTTAAGATTTGCAAAAGCAAAAAAGACAATGGGAAGGCTTTCCGCATTTGCCTCCCTGACTGCAGAGGAGTATTTGAGGTCATTGGGAGAGTCAAAATGGCTTCAGGATTGCTCTCCTGTACTATTTCAGACACATGGTTTATACAGTGGATGCTCAGTTTGCGAACGTGATCTGTGCGGGATGCACGTTCGCAACCCACAGGGTTCGCAACCGATGTTTGCACACACGCGGGTTGCGATTTGGCACTTCTGCACATGCGCAAAGCGCGATTAGCGCTTCTGTGCATGCGCAACCGCCGAAACCCAGAAGTAACCCGTTCTGGTACTTCCAGGTTTCGGAGGTCCGTAACCCAAAAAAACACAACCTGAAGCGGCTGTAACCCAAGGTATGACTGTATACTTATGTATGTGTTTGCCTTGTACATTTATGAACATTTAATTTATAGAGCTGGACCATCAAGAAGGCTGATTGCCAAAGAATGGATGCTTTTGAATTCTGGCTGCTAGATCTTGAGAGTCCCATGGACTGCAAGAAGATCCAACCTCTCCATTCTGAAGGAAACCAGCCCTGAGTGCTCACTGGAAGGACAGATCCCGAAGCTGAGGCTCCGACTTTGGCCACCCCATGAGAAGAGAAGACTCCCTGGAAAAGGCCCTGATGCTGGGAAAGATGGGGGCACAAGGAGAAGGGGACGACAGAGGAGGAGATGGTTGGATAGTGTTCTCGAAGCTACCAGCATGAGTTTGACCAACTCGGTGCTGGACCCCAGTGTCCGGGCAGAACGATGGGGTGGAAACGCTCCTTCAGGTATACGTGAGCCCGTTTAGGGCTTTGAAAAGCGTCAGCCACCAACACTTTGAATTGCTGAAACGTAGCGGGGAACAATGTAGGTCTTTCAAGACTGGTGTTATATGGTCTCGGCCACTCCCAGTCAACCATCTAGCTGCCGCGTTCTGGATTAATTGCAGTTTCTGAGTCACCTTCAAAGGTAGCCCCACGTAGAGCGCATTGCAGTAGTCCAAGTGAGAGATAACCAGAGCATGCACCACTCTGGTGAGACAGTCTGCGGACAGGTAGGGTCTCAGCCTGCATACCAGATGGAGCTGGTAGACAGCTGCCCTGGACACATTGCCCTGCGCCTCCATGGACAGCTGGGAGTCCAAAATGACCCCCAGGCTGCGCACCTGGTCCTTCAGAGGCACAGTTACCCCATTCAGGACCAGGGAATCCTCCACACCTGCCCGCCTCCTTTCCTGCAAAAACAGTACTTCTGTCTTGTCAGGATTGAACCTCAATCTGTTAGCCGCCATCCATCCTCCAACTGCCTCCAGACCCTCCAATTTTAATCCAATGTTGCGAGCCGCTTTGGGCTTCTTCCTGTCTTTGAAGGAAGGACAGGGGTAGAAAAAACTATGTAATAAACAAACAAACACGCAGTTACATTTCAGTGACTGGTTGTGACTTTTTTATTCCTCACGAGACACATGATCCACCCCCGGAGTGTTTTAGGCTGTGATTAAATACCCTTGGTATGGTTTTCGTTTTCTGTTTTGCGTCAACCGTTTCTAAGGCTACTCTTTCCAAAATGTAATTTCATGGGTATCTTCGTTTTTTAAGTGTTTTTGATTATATGCTGTGCACCACCCGTATATAGATAGATAAATATATATTTTTTTAATGATTCAAGTATCATAAAGCATTCTTTTAATGGTTTATTTACTTAAGTGTTTCAAAGTATGCTTTAATTTGCTTTGTTTAGCCAGAAAAGCTGGCAGAAAAAGCTGGCACTGGGTGGTGCATGTGGATGGGAACGCAAGGCGTTCTCAGGAAATCGTTTGCTAGGCGAGAGCTTGCATAACGAGTCAATGACTGCCATTGATTCCTATGGAGAAAGTTCTAATGCGTTCCTGACCACGGAATTTTGACCCCAAAATGACAAAAAAAACCCACCCCACAACCACCCCAGGAAAAACCCTCTGAAACCTTGCAAAAGGCAGACAAAGAATTGGGGTGGGGGGAGTAAGGCTTGTTTAAGGCGGTTCATTTGTTTGCAGCGCTAAATGCAGGTTTGGATATCTGAATCTGCAGGGTGTATAAGTGAGGTTTGCGTACGGATTCCTCGTGTTTGGATAAGTGATAATTTTCTCCAAATGAGCGTTTGGATGGCAGAACCTGCCTGTGTATCTGTGTGTGTGTGTGTGTGTGTGTGTATATATATAAAATCAAAGGATCGTGGAGCTGGAAAGATTTTGCATATAATATTCAGTTAGAATCCTGGGAAAGGTTGTGGAAGGAAGGTATCAATTTTACTGCATACAGTGCACTTGAAGAAAATGTTATGAAAATGATGTACAGATGGTACTTAAAGGTAAAGGGACCCCTATATATATCTATATATCTATATACCCATATATATTATAAATCATAATATATAATATAACCATCACCCACACAGTGCTTTCTCCCCTTAAAAAAACTGCTTAGGAGTAATCTCTTTTCCTAATCATATTGAAATACTGCCCCTCAGTGATGCAAACTTAAAAAATCTGTGCGCGTGCATATATATATATATATATACTATTATATTTGCTTTCTATATATAATATATATATTATGTTTCACTGTGTGTATACATATATGTGTTTTATATATATATATAAATATAGATAGATAGATATGTATATGTATATGTATATGTATATATATGTGTGTGTGTTATACAGTATATGTGTATATGTGTGTGTGTATGTATATATATACACACACACACACACACACACACACCCAAAAAGAAAAAGGCAGGAGCTGTGAGGAAAAACTGGAGGCGCCATTTCCCTCAGGGGCCAGCAAAGCCCCTCCCCCACCTCCAGGCCATTTCTGTTTTTTTGAACCCTCATCCCTCAAGCCCCGCCAAAAAAACAACCACCCCAGAGCGAACCCCCAACCGCCAACCATGACATCCCGCCTCCCTCCCTCTCTCACTGGCCCGCGCCCTTCCTTCCCCCGGCTTTCATTGGCTGCGCCGGTGCGCGAGGCTCGCCTCCGGAGGCGGGCTGCCTCTCCTGCCTTTTGATAAGCGCAGACGGCTGCCTGTCTAACTCGCTCTGGCTTTTTTTTATTTAGGCTCCTCCCTTTCCCCGCCCGCCCCTCTCAGAGCGGGCCCCGCCCTCCGCCTGCCTCGGTGCCTGTCAGGGGAGAGGGAGTCGGCCCGGCTTTGGCCTGGCCTAGTCCGGCCTCTTCCTCCTCCTCCTCCTCCGCCCGCCTTCCGCGAGCGGGACGGAAACCGGGGAGGGACCCGCCGAGGGCGCGAGGGAGAAGAAGGAGAAGGAGAAGAAGCAGCAGCAGCGAGCGGGAGCGGCGTCGCCATGGGAACCCGCGACGACGAGTACGACTATCTATTCAAAGGTGAGAGGAGCGGGGGAAGGAGCGGATGACGATGGTGCGGAGGGCGGGGGGGCGCCTGGCTGGGAGGGGGGCGGCGAAGCCCCGCCCCTACCCGGAGGAGGAGGGGCTTGCCCCCGCGTTCGAAGAGGGAGTGGCTTGCCCCTGTTTCGAAAGGGGAGGAGCTTGCCCCGGTTTCGAAAGGGGAGGGGTTAGCCCCGGGTTCCAAAGGGGAGGAGCTTGCCCAGGGTTCCGAAGGGGAGGGGTTAGCCCAGGGTTCCAAAGGGGAGGGGTAAGCCCAGGGTTCCAAAGGGGAGGAGCTTGCCCAGGGTTCCGAAGGGGAGGAGTTAGCCCAGGGTTGCAAAGGGGAGGGGTTAGCCCAAGGTTCCAAAGGGGAGGGGTTAGCCCAGAGTTGCAAAGGGGAGGAGCTTGCCCAGGGTTCTGAAGGGGAGGGGTTAGCCCAGGGTTCCAAAGGGGAGGGGTTAGCCCAGGGTTCCAAAGGGGAGGAGCTTGCCCAGGGTTCCGAAGGGGAGGGGTTAGCCCAGGGTTCCAAAGGGGAGGGGTAAGCCCAGGGTTGCAAAGGGGAGGGGTTAGCCCAAGGTTCCAAAGGGGAGGGGTTAGCCCAGAGTTGCAAAGGGGAGGAGCTTGCCCAGGGTTCCGAAGGGGAGGGGTTAGCCCAGGGTTCCAAAGGGGAGGGGTTAGCCCAGGGTTCCAAAGGGGAGGAGCTTGCCCAGGGTTCCGAAGGGGAGGAGTTAGCCCAGGGTTGCAAAGGGGAGGGGTTAGCCCAGGGTTCCAAAGGGGAGGGGTTAGCCCAGAGTTGCAAAGGGGAGGAGCTTGCCCCGGGTTCCAAAGGGGAGGAGCTTGCACTGGGTTCCGAAGGGGAGGGGTTAGCCCAGGATTCCAAAGGGGAGGAGCTTGCCCCGGGTTCCAAAGGGGAGGGGTTAGCCCAGGGTTCCAAAGGGGAGGAGCTTGCCTCGAGTTCCGAAGGGGAGGGGTTAGCCCAGGGTTGCAAAGGGGAGGAGCTTGCCCAGGTTCCAAAGGGGAGGGGTTAGCCCAGGGTTCCAAAGGGGAGGAGCTTGCCTCGAGTTCCAAAGGGGAGGGGTTAGCCCAGGGTTCCAAAGGGGAGGAGCTTGCCCCGGGTTCCAAATGGGAGGAGCTTGTCCAGGGTTCCGAAGAGGAAGGGTTAGCCCAGGATTCCAAAGGGGAGGGGTTCGCCCTGGGTTCCAAAGGGGAGGAGCTTGCCTCGAGTTCCAAAGGGGAGGGGTTAGCCCCAGGTTCCAAAGAGGAGGGATCAGCCCAGGATTCCAAAGGGGAGGGGTTCGCCCTGGGTTCCAAAGGGGAGGAGCTTGCCTCGAGTTCCAAAGGGGAGGGGTTAGCCCAGGGTTCCAAAGGGGAGGGGGTTAGCACATGGTTCCAAAGGGGAGGAGCTTGCCCGGGTTCCAAAGGGGTGGAGTTTGCCTCCTGGGAGCAGGGGGTGGGGCTTGGGGGGCTCCGAGGTGTGTTGTGTTTTTTTTCCAAGGAGGGAGGGGGCACTTGCCAAAGGAAGTTGCTTGGTTGATGGATTGGTTTAGCTTACTTATATGCCGTCTTCCCGCAGTTAGCTGTGCCCAAAGCGGATTACACCAAGCACCTGCTTATCAAAATGCAAAACAGGTGTGGGGGAGGGGCTGTTTACAAGACCTCCCAAAGGGGGCAGAAATCAACAACTCAGTAAACGTGGAACAAATCCCCCATCGCCACCAAAACAACAACAGTGCCTAGACCGTTCCAGCGTTTCCCAAACTGGGGTCTTCTGTTTTTGGACTACAACTCCCATCATCCCTAGCTAGCAAGACCAGTGGTCAGGGATGATGGGAATTGTAGGCTGAAGAAAACCGCAGGAGACCCAAGTTTGGGAAACTAGGTGCGTCTTACGGTCTGGTGCGTCTTATAGAGCGAAAAATACGGTAATTAACCCAAGGTACCACTGTATGGCTTGTCTCCTGTCTGTCAAGATAATGCTTGCTTACTGAATTACCTAGCCAGCCTGGCCATTCCTTTTGAGGTGGTAGATCCCTTAGTTCTCGAATCGAGGTCACAGGCCTACCTTATTCATGCAGAAAATATGCCCTTAAGATAGCGCGTGTGCCTGCGATTTCCAGTGTCTGCATCTGCGCAGACGCAATTTCCGGCATCTCGGCATGTGCAGACGCAATTTCTGGCACCACGGAAGCGAGTCCCTGCGCTGCACCGTGCCAGTTTAACACAGCACACGGGGACTCGCCAAGCGGGTAGCTGGTTTGGGGGCAGCTCGTGGGCAGGTTAAACGACCCCCGTGAGCCGCTTGTGGCCCCTGGGCCTTGGGATAGCCAAGGTGGCTTTTGGGATTGTTCTGTGTGCTAAAATAAAGTGCAGTTTTCTCAGGGAATATTTCCTAAATTCTGACGGGTTTTCTGTGGAGTGTGTGTCCGCTGTGTGTGTGCACCCTAAAGTTTTGTAACGCCCTCATAGCATCCTGGAGGATCTGTAAAGCCGTAGGAGGGGGGTTTTTTGGTCTTGGAAAGTGGGAGGAAGGCTTGGAAACTAGGGACTGTAAACTGAAGGAGGGGGCCGAAAGGACTATTGAAACTGCACGTGTGTGTTGAAATGGGTAGGGTTTTGATGTGGGCTTCGCTGTTGTTTTCCCTGTTTGCTTTTTCGCCTTTCTGTTCTGCGGGACCCCAAGGTAGCTTCCAGCAATGAGTGTTGTGGTTGGAGACGCTTATCCACACCTTTCTAGGGAGCATGCGAGTCTGGGGGCCGGGTGACTGAAAGCAAGAAGGTCTGGGGGGATGCATTAGCAACCGGCAGGGTGGCTGGCAACTGGGGGGGGGGGCTGGGTCTTACGGGGTGGGAGTGAGGAGCAGGTGGTGGTCTGTGGGCTGGATTTGCAGTGCAGCTTTAAGGCTTACGGACAGTCGAAACAAGAAGAGAAGGGGCTTAGTGATGTTGTGGTATTTAGAGCTAAAGGGCGCATCAGGGTGCGTTCAGGGCTGGGGGTGCTCTGGTGGAAGATGCAGATTCCCAGACAAACAGATTTAGGCCTTGAGACAGTGCAGGGTGGTATTGGCAGATGGATGGGCTGGGAACGCATTGGTTCACTGAGATGGAAAGAATCGGCATAAACATGATCGAGAGTGTTTAGGGACTGGTTTGTGTGGTGCACTGGGTGGCTTTAAATACTTTCACTTTATCCTAAGGGCTCAGGGGAGGTTATAACACTGAACAACACGGAGAGTTTCCAGTCCTGCAGATCGAAATTCAGTCTAGATCAGTCACCAACTCTCTTAGTTCAACCAAAGAGACTCTGTCTTCTGTAATCTATTCATATTTTCCCTAGTCCTCTCTATTGCAGTGCACGCACACGCACCTCGGGTGCAGTTGTTGCATCTAGACATTTTTGTTTTGCTCCGGGTGTCTCCTTTGGGCCCTGTCTGGATCAATATCCAACAACTTGCGTTGGAATTGCAAAAGCAACACTGTCATGTGCTATTTGCAGTAGTGTTTAGCTGAGCATCAGGATGCCTCTGTTTTTTGGTTCAGCCTTCCTAAAAAATAATATGACCTGGCAGTAAGAAACTGAAATGAATGGGTGATGGGGGGAAGAGAAGAGCAGCTAAAGGACAAAGCTGTTATTTGAAATGACACCGTTTGGGTTTGCAGGATCCAGGGGCTGGCAATTCTGGGCAGCAGAGATTGGTCCAATAGCAAGGTTGAGCAGTTAATTGGTGTCATTAAACCTGCAGCAACTGTCGACCTAAGAATCAAATCAGCTTTGGGGTATTTGGCGGTTCCCGGAAAATCGGTACATAAACTGCGGAAAAGGTTACGGAGCGGTGATGCAGCTCCCGTCCCCCATAAATGCCATGTTTGTTAGCATGCTCCAAGGAATTTGGGTTACTTTTAAAAAGCTGAAGAGTCCACAGCAAGAAGCAGTTACTTCTTTGGGGAGGAAAAAAATCTCTGCGATGCAGTTCCTGCAGTTTAGCATGGTAGACCCTGGGTTTTTAACCCCTATCAAACATCTTTGCCAAGTCATTCTTGCCTGTAAAATGGGTTTAATGGTGGCCAATAGCAAAGTAAAAAAAATGTAAAGCAGTTCTGTATGTACCTGTATATAATTAGGTTGCTGACATAAAGTTACACGCACCTGTGCTTCTTGGAAGTAAACAAACCTTCCACAGGTAAGAATTGCTGGGCTGAGGCTAGAAGGCAATGTTCTAGTCTGAGTTCCTTAGCCGAAGGCAGGGTCTTTCAAATAATGCCTTATGGATTAACCCCTCCACATACAGAGTCTCTGTGCATATTTCTGTGGACCAAGATGTGTGTACAAGGTAGATCAAGGTGTAATAGATCAAAGGGTAAGGTGAGAGTAGAACCAAAGTCTGGGGCCTCCGTAAACCGATTAAGGTACCGTTATACTGCTTGCCAGTCCTGCTGGAAAATTCCCCAATCCAAATATTAAAGCAGGGTTTCCTTTGTGTTCCTTGCCCACACACTAGTTTCCGGTGGCAGTGGGAGGGGCAAACTTTTGATATGAGGGGCTATTTTAGATGAGCAGCTCACTGCATGAAAGGGAGGTGTAATGAAGGAACAACGGCTTATTATGTTGCATCTCAAGCCCTTTATACCACAATCTCCCCATTCTGTTACCATCCAGCCAGAGCCAATTTGAATCTAAAGTCCTTGCTTGCTTCCAAAAGGCACCTCGTGTGCTCATAAGAACAGTCCTACTTTGTCAGATCAAAGGTCGATCTAGTTCAGCAGTTCTCTTCTCGCAATTGTTATATGCCTCCCCTAGGAAGCCCACAAACGCGGCATGAGGGCAATCGCCTTCTCCTGCTATTGCTCCCGAGCGCTGAAATTCAGAGGCATGCCACTTTTGATCCTGGAGGGGATCATGCAGCCATCTGGACAAGCATAGGGTCCCACCCCCCACCCCCAGATTTGTTTGATCCACTTGTGGAAGCCAGTTCAGAGTTTAACCAAGTGCTTGTGTGAATCTCTTCTTCATTAGGTTGGGTTGTTTTTATGAGAGGACAATTTCTGCCTATCCCAGGGGTTGGCAAGCTTTACCTTGCCTGGGCCGGTTCACTCCAGCGGAGATCCCTCTGTGGGCCGGATTGTGTGCACACGCCTGTGATTTCCGGTGTCTGCGCAGACGCGATTTCTGGCGCTGCAGAAGCGAGTCCCTGCGCTGCACTGCGCCGGTTTAGCGCAGCGCGCGGGGGCTCGCCGAGCGAGTGGCTCAGTTCGGGTGCGAACTGAGGGGCAGGTTAAACGACCCCAGTGGGCCACTTGTGGACCATGGGCCATAGGTTGCTGGACCCCTGGCCTATCCACTTTCTCCCCACACACTGCACACCGTATTTTTCGCTCTATAGGATGCACCGGAGCATAGGACACCAGGAGGGGGAGAACAGGAAAAAAATTCTCCCCCTCTCTGCTCAGCGCCCCTTCAGCGAAGCGGCAGGAGAAACGGAGCCCCTTCCATTTCTCCTCCTGCTTCGCTGAAGGGGCGCTGCGCAGAGAGGGAAAACTGTGCGGCACCTCTCCAGCGAAGCTAAGCATGGAGAGCAAGAGGGATCGGTGTGCACCGACCCCTCTCGCTCTCCAGGCTTCAGACTGCTATCCGGGGCTTCAGGCAGCTATCCGCAAGCCTTCGGAGCGCAGCGGGAACTCCCGGAGGTTCAGGCTGCAGGCTGCTATCCTCAAGCCTTCAGAGCGCGGCGGGAACTCCCGCTGAGCTCTGAAGGCTTGCGGATAGCTGCCTGAAGCCTGGAGAGCGAGAGGGGTTGGTGCGCACCGACCCCTCTCGCTCTCCAGGCTTCAGCGAAAGCAACGCGAAGCCTCCGGAGCGCGGAGAGAGCTCTCCCTCTGCGCTTCAGAAGCTTCGTGTTGTTATCGCTGAAGCCAAGGAGCCTGCATTCGCTCCATAGGACGCACACACATTTCCCCTTCATTTTTGGAGGGGGAAAGTGCGTCCTATAGAGCGAAAAATACGGTAATTTTATGCACCTCTCTCATATCCCCCTCCCCTTCATCTGATTTTAAATAAAACTAAAAGCTTCCCAAAGACCAGCTCCTGTGAGTCAGCCCTTCAGCCCTAACGAATAATTTGCTTGACCTTTTTGCACAATTGTGCCTCTCCCAACATCCTCCTGCTGATTCTGATGTGGGAGGAACAATGCCCATGTACAAAGGAAGACTTCTGATTGAATGGTTTGGAGCAGTTTTGCCAAGTGAATTCGTGGTGCATGGTTGTGTGACCTCCCTCCCTCCAACCTGCCCCCTTGGCTGCCCTGATGCATTCCGTGCCTGATGAGGAGCTGTGCTTAACTTCAGGGAGTCCCGGAGGAAGCCGATCAATACACCTACGGGTGTCCGGCAAGAGCATCTTTGAGGACCCAGGCTGGGCTTTGGGAGATAGGGAGGAAAGGGGCTGCTCCAGCAGATTTTCCAGGGGACACTTGGAAGAGGCCAAAGAAGGAAATGTCGTTTTTTTGTGGGGATGGATGTTGGCTTGGGCAATACAGTGGTACCTCGCAAGACGAATGCCTCGCAAGACAAAAAACTCGCTAGACGAAAGGGTTTTTTGTTTTTTGAGCTGCTTCGCAAGACGATTTTCCCCATGGGCTTGCTTCGCGAGACGGAAACGTCTTGCAAGTTTGTTTCCTTTTCCTTAACACCGTTAATACAGTTGCGACTTGACTTCGAGGAGCAACTCATAGCACGCGGTGTGGTAGCCTTTTTTGAGGTTTTTGAAGCTTTTTGAGGTTTTTGAAGCTTTTCCAAAACTTTCCCGACACCGTGCTTCGCAAGGCGGAAAAAACCGCAAGGCGACAAAACTCGCGGAACGAACTAATTTCGTCTTGCGAGGCACCACTGTATGAGGAGAAGCATGATGCAAATTACTGGAAGAGATCTCGTGCAGGAGGTGTCAGTAGCAGGAAAAACGATAGCAACAGGAACTGAGTGTCCAGTTCGAGAAGCTGGAAATTTTGGGGGCAGCTCTTGGCTCTGGAGTTCATAGAATCATAGAATCATAGAATCATAGAGTTGGAAGAGACCACAAGGGCCATCGAGTCCAACCCCCTGCCAAGCAGGAAACACCATCAGAGCACTCCTGACATATGGTTGTCAAGCCTCTGCTTAAAGACCTCCAAAGAAGGAGACTCCACCACACTCCTTGGCAGCAAATTCCACTGTCGAACAGCTCTTACTGTCAGGAAGTTCTTCCTAATGTTTAGGTGGAATCTTCTTTCTTGTAGTTTGGATCCATTGCTCCGTGTCCGCTTCTCTGGAGCAGCAGAAAACAACCTTTCTCCCTCCTCTATATGACATCCTTTTATATATTTGAACATGGCTATCATATCACCCCTTAACCTCCTCTTCTCCAGGCTAAACATGCCCAGCTCCCTTAGCCGTTCCTCATAAGGCATCGTTTCCAGGCCTTTGACCATTTTGGTTGCCCTCCTCTGGACACCTTCCAGTTTGTCAGTGTCCTCCTTGAATTGTGGTGCCCAGAACTGGACACAGTACTCCAGGTGAGGTCTGGGGAGTTGTCATTAGGCTGCAGCCTGTGTCACCCCAGACTGCCCTGCGAGGTTCTGCTGAGAAGCCCTGCGTCGGCTGTGGGATGCTGGCCACACACAGGGCTGTTTGCAGCAGCGGCGTGCAGCGGTTTTTGTTTTTTTAGGGGAGCAGTTAAGGCTAGAGGCGCCAGCTTGCAAGGGCGACGTTACACTTGTGAGCATCGCACCTTCCTCCCTGAGTTGGGCACAAGCTTCCCAGGCTTTGGGAAGGAGGCGCTAATAATAATAATAATAATAATAATAATATATTTATACCCCGCCCATCTGGCTGGGTTTCCCCAGCCACTCAGGGTGGCTTCCAACAAAATATTAAAATACAGTAATGCATCAAACATTAAAAGCTCCCCTAAACAGGTCTGCAAGAGAACATTTAGGGAACTTTGTTAGTCCCCCTAGTTCACTGACTACACACCACTGGTTTTGCAGCATTTTTGGGGGGGTTACTCAAGGGTACGCAGTAGCAGCACCTTTCTCCCCCCCAAAAATGTTATAACTGTGGCACTTACTGTAACAACTTCATGGTGAGGGGGGAGCACTGGCTGTTTGCTGTGGGGAGAGAGCACCATTCTCTGCAATACTTTGCCTTTACCATCCCCCGCCCTGTGTTTATAAATCCCAGCTTGACAAATGAACGCTGACAGTGCTGTATTGTCTTTTCTCTTTCTACCCTCCCCAGTTGTGCTGATTGGAGACTCCGGGGTGGGGAAGAGTAATCTCCTGTCCCGCTTCACACGCAATGAGTTCAACCTGGAGAGCAAAAGCACTATCGGTGTGGAGTTTGCCACCAGAAGCATCCAGGTGGATGGCAAGACGATAAAGGCACAGATCTGGGACACGGCTGGCCAGGAGCGATATCGTGCTATCACCTCCGCGTAAGCCTCAAAAGCTGCTCTGATTCATGGATTGATTATTTAATTTCATATATTAAAAAAATACAGTGGTACCTTGGTTCTCAAATGCCTTGGTCCTCAAACAGCTTGGAACCCGAACATTGCAAACCCGGAAGTAAGTGTTCCGGTTTACTAACCTTTTTCGGAAGCCGAACGTGCTCCATTTTGAGTGTTGTGCTTCCGATTTGAGTGCCACACTTCTGTTTTGAGTTTTATGCTGGCAATTTGAGTGTTACGCTTCCGATTTGAGTGTTACACTGAGATCTGTCTGTTTTTGCTATTTATTTTGCGTTTTTGCGGCTTTTTTGTTTTGTTTTTGTGACTGTGTGGAACCCAGTTCACCTACTGATTGTGTGACTGCAGTACATTGTTTATTGCTTTCATTTTATGGATCAATGGTCTCGTTAGATAGTAAAATTCATGTTCAATTGCTGTCTTAGGAGTTCTTTTTAACAGTCTTGAACGGATTAATCCATTTCACATTACTTTCTATGGGAAAGTGCGCCTTGGTTTTGGAACGCTTTAGTTTTGGAACGGACTTCTGGAGCGGATTAAGTTTGAGAACCAAGGTACCACTGTATCTCTAAGTGGTGTACAAAAAACTGAATCAGCAACAGACAACTTAAACAAAACATTACAAAAAAAAACCCCACAGTTACATGTAAAAATGTTACATCAATGCAAAGTTACTAATATCTATAAATCAATATCAGTCCATTTTCCTCCTGACACACACTCCCTCTCAGCCTCCGTGTTCTCGCCCGGGGTCCAGGCAAACTCTATGCTCTCCCACAAAAGATTTGCAACAAAAAGAGTTGCCAGAAAGAGCGAACGTCACCTTAGTCTGTCTCTTTAGACCTGCTTTTTTATGGACAGGCCCAAGGTAGATGACACTTCCTCAGTCTGCCTGCAGCTGTGTCCCATTTAGCTGCCCCCTCCACACCCAGTACAGCAGGTTTCTTGAGTTTCCCAGGGGGTCCTAAGGATGGGACGAGGGGCCCTTTCCACGCACAGCGATTGATTTCTAGAGCGTTGTCAAGTGTCTTCTGAGACTGTTGCAAAGCGTGCTGGACTCCGTAGACCTCTGTCTACGAGGCATTGCTTATGCAAGAGCACACACTTGGGATCCCTGAATGCAGATTAGCCAACTCTCACATCCTGGCTATGCAATCTTCTTCTGAAATTTGCTTTCTTAAAAGTGCCTTGCTGACACTCTGGGTTTGTGTGTGTATGGGTGTTGAGGGGGCAAACAGCAAATCGGCTCATTCCAGGATAAAGGAATTCCGGCTGAGGTGGCGGAAGATTGCGAATCGTGTCATAAGCCTGAATTGAGTCAGTGCTCAGATGGGCTTCTCTTCTGGACCAAGTGCTTCTGATTCAGCTTGCCTGACCTAATATTCCCCCTATCCTTTGTTTATTTGAATGGGAGAGAAACCTAAACCTGGCCTCCCAGACCGCTTCATAGTTGCTCATGAATTTCCTAGAGAAGCCAATGTTTGCTTGAACATCCCATGACACGGGGAGCTGCTATATACAGAGTCTGACCATTGGTCCATCGAGATCAATATTGTGTACACTGATTGGCAGTTGTTCTGTTCAGGGTTTTAGAGAGAAGGGCCCCAGGCATAAGCAAACTCGGTGCTCCAGATCTACCCGGACACTGAGGTCCAGCGCCGAGGGCCTTCTGGCGGTTCCCTCGCTGCGAGAAGCCAAGTTACGGGGAACCAGGCAGAGGGCCTTCTCGGTAGTGGCACCCGCCCTGTGGAACGCCCTCCCACAGGATGTCAAAGAGAAAAATAACCACCATCATCCCTAGCGAACAGGACCAGTGGTCAGGGATGATGGGAGTTGTAGTCCCAACAACAACAACAACAATTTATTATTTATACCTCGCCCATCTGGCTGGGTAGCTTCCAATAAGACACTAAAATACAATAACCTATTAAACATTAAAAGCTTCCCTAAACAGGGCTGCCTTCAGATGTCTTCTAAAAGTCTGGTAGTTGTTGTTCTCTTTGACATCTGGTGGGAGGGCGTTCCACAGGGTGGGTGCCACTACCGAGAAGGCCCTCTGCCTGGTTCCCTGTAACTTGGCTTCTCACAGCGAGGGAACCGCCAGAAGGCCCTCAGCACTGGACCTCAGTGTCCGGGCAGAACGATGGGGGTGGAGATGCTCCTTCAGGTATACTGGAACAAGGCCGTTTAGAGCTTTAAAGGTCAGCACCAACACTTTGAATTGTGCTTAGAAACATACTGGGAGCCAATGTAAGTCTTTCAAGACTGGTGTTATGTGGTCTTGGTGGCCACTCCCAGTCACCAGTCTAGCTGCCGCTAGAATGTAAGTGTTTTTTTAAAGAAAGAAAAGTGAGTTGTGCAAGTAAACAACTGCTCAAGTGCTGCTTTAAGCAGTTGAATAAACATGAAGTAATGTAATAAATTTGCTTAATTTAATACCTGGTGTTAGTTTCTTTTAAAAGCAAAAACTGTTTGCTTACTTGCGTGAGTTGCTGTTCTGATGCCCTGTACCCTCCTCACAGGGGTCCATCAGCAAAGTGTTAATCATTCTGAACTTTACACTGTCCTTTGCACACAGGATGGGAGATAAGCCTGGCTTATACTTGCAGAATTTTGGCAGTCTGTAACTTAACGGGCTGAGTTCTGCAAACATTTCTGTGCCCGGTGCAAATCCTGAAAATCTTGGCATTCATTTTTGTTTGTGCAGGCAGCTTGTGTCCAGTTAGCCTCTAGACTGGTGGAACTCTGCCTGATCCGTCTTCTATGTGACTGCCCTTCAGATAAGACCACTATCGTGCCCCTGTCTTCTCTTTTCCCATATAAACATAATCCGCTTTTCCGTCCAGTTCGTCAGTGTCCTTCAGCAACCTCTGTGTCCGGAGACCCTTCCGCAGGCTGAGTAACACCTGTCTAAATAACTCTTTCAGCTATTACCGTGGTGCCGTTGGAGCACTCCTGGTTTACGACATCGCAAAACACTTGACATACGAGAACGTGGAGCGTTGGCTGAAGGAGCTCCGGGATCATGCAGATAACAACATCGTCATCATGCTGGTGGGGAACAAGAGCGATCTGCGTCACCTGAGGGCTGTGCCTACAGACGAGGCCCGCGCTTTTGCAGGTTGGGTTGTTACAAACTCTGGATGTTGATGCTCTTTAGCTGCCTGGCTCTCATGGAAGCATTGGCCATGCTCCCTTTTAAGTGCCGAGGGAGTTTGCAAATTGGCCACCTGGAAGAGGTGGTATAAAGCTTCTGAGAGGTTGTGATTTTTACGAAGCAGCAGTGGTGTGCTTAGTGCAGTGAAGTCAGGTCCTTGGCTGAAAGAGGCCCCCAATGTGGTGGACAACAGAGAATCTCCAGTTAAGAGCTTTTGAAAAGGCTTAGGTAGAGGCAGTGTGGTGACCATCACTAAAATATTTAATATAAATATAGTTCTTTTTTAAAGAAATTGCTCACAAGTACAGACATTACTTTGGTTACTCTTGTAAGAGCCTGTGGGACTCACTGGTTGTAGTGTTGGATTTGGATCAAGGAGGCCTGGGCTTTAATGTCTGATCAGCTGTAAAATTTAAATGTGTAATTGGAGTGAGAATAAACTGACTCACTCTCAATTTACCTCCTAAGTTTGATGCGGGGATAAAATTGTATGTGTCTGAGTACAGGGTGGGGAATACACAAGGGCACACCAAACTCGGAGGAAGGATAACTTAAAACTAGGGATTTTATTTAATAATAAGGGTAAGCCAGTATTCAGCCCCATTTTACAAATTTGGGGATGCAGACAACTGACGTTGACAAACGAGGTTGCTGCAGGTTTCAAATTAGATCGTGACTGGTACTTCTGATTCATAACTTGTGACACTAAAATATTATGATAGTTTGCAAATCTGAATTGGTTTCACTATGCACAGCCAAGATTGGCTACTGGGTGCATTATTGAACTGTGGTTAATCTAAAACAAAAGTGGAAGCTTCTGAACTTTTTGCTGTTCTGGAATAGGAGATTGGGACCTGGGTAACTTTTCATAGAATTGTAGGAGGAGAAGGGACCCCTCTGCAATGCAGGAATCATAGCCTCATAATGTGATTAGGCATGCTAACTACGCCAACATTTCTCCTAGTCTCCAGAATTCAGTTATCTAATCTGTTTTTGAATTCTTTAAGGGGTGGGAAGAGAACGATCTTTCTTCCTATTGCTTGACTTTGAGGAGAGTGCCATCTGTACATGAAAATAACTGCAGTGATTTCCTCCCCTGCCCTTGCAGAAAAAAACAACCTGTCATTCATTGAAACTTCAGCACTCGACTCAACAAATGTAGAAGAAGCCTTCAAGAACATCCTTACTGGTAAGGATTTCCGTTTAGATTATCTTTCCTGATGTGTAAAGGGCATGTGGGGCAATGGAAAGGAAACACACGCCTGGATTTGATCTGTGGTCACTACACAGGTGCCAACTCCCTGTGGCCCTGGGTGCCCGAGTACCCACAAAATTCCCAGTGAAGGCACCAGGCACCCACTAATTTTAGTGCCAGGGCCATGTACGCTGCCCCGGGCACCCACAGTTGTGGGGCCATGTTGGAACTCCTGGGCCACCATCAGTGTGTGTGGTCGGCATCCCTTAACAGCTCTTTGAGCCTTGAAATGTTTACCGTCAGCCTTGCACATTTGCGTTTAGGGTGGTTTGTTAACATGCCTGTAACTTGCTCCCAGATTGCTGGAGATAATGGATTGCTCCAATGATTTTGCTTATCACTTCTGCGTGACTGCCTTGCCTGGATAGGGGAAGAAGGCAGGTCTGTGTGTGTATCTCTCTCTGCGTGTACAGGAAGGCTTTACAGTGGACCCTGTAGTTACGTACCGCTCTAGATACGTACCCTTCGGGTTATGAACGCAGCAAACCCGGAAGTGTATACTTCTGGGTTTCGGCATGCACACATTTACAGAAGTGCTCTGTGCACTTTGTGCCTGCGCAGAAGCGCTCAATCGTGCTGTGCCCGTGCGCAGAAGTGCTCAATTGCGCTGTGTGCATGCACAGAAGCAGTGCCTCTGCCTGCGGACTTTTCGGGTTGCGGACGGACCCCCAGAACGAATTTAATTTGTATCCAGAGGGTCCATTGTACTTTGAGCATTCTTGGCAAGCTAAATGCCAAGAGCCATTGCTGATGAAGGGCTTCTTTCCACCAACAGTAACTGAACCTACCCAGACCCTAAGATCATCGTCTGAAGCCCATGTGCCGCCTCCATGTGAGGTCTGGAGGCTGGTCACACTAGAACGGGGCCTTTTCTGCAGTGGCTCCCCGCTTGTGGAATGCTCTCCCCAGGGAGGCCCACCTGGCACCTTCAGTGTACACTTTTAGGTGCCAGGTGAAAACAATCCCCTTTAACCCGGCCTTTGATTGACATCCCATGCCCTTGAAAAATTTGTTGTGGAAGGGAGGGGGTTATTGGGTTGTTCTTGTTTTTATTTTGATCATGTATTTGGTGTTTTTTATATTGCGATTTTATGGTGTGAAGCTCCCTGAGACCTGTGGGTATAGGGCAAGTATACAAATTTAATAACGATGATGATCATGATAATACCACCAGTCTTGCTACTGCAAGTGGAGCAGGGCTGGGGTACCCGTGCCCCCCCCCAGGTGCATATACTTGGGGCATTCCCCGCAACATGTGAGAATTGCAAAGGTAAGTGGGTCTGGATCTGGTCCCTGACTGCTTAAAACCCCACATGTATGCCACCTGGGGTTCCATGATGGGAGAAAGGTCGACTACAGATATAACAAAATGCACCACGTGTGTCTTGTGTTACATGTGGTGGCTTCCTTGGCGCGGGCTCCAGAGTCAAGAACAAGGGAGGAAAGTGGCTTCCGCTCCGCAAGGGCACACAGTATGCAGACTGAATGCCTTTGGCTCCCATCATTTCCTCAGGCTGCTCAGTGCAGAGGGCTGTGGGCAAGATGTGCCAGTGTGGTGTAGTGGTTAAGAGCGGGAGTCTCGTACAGTGGTGCCTCGCAAGACGAAAATAATCCGTTCCGCAAGTCTCTTCGTCCAGCGGTTTTTTCGTCTTGCGAAGCAAGCCCTATTAGCGGCTTAGCGGTTTAGCGGCTTAGCGGCTATTAAAGGCTTAGCGGCTTAGTGGCTAAAAGGCTATTAGTGGCTTAGCGGCTTAGAAAAAGGGGGGGGGAGCGGAAAAAAATCGCAAGACTCGCAAGACGTTTTCGTCTTGCGAAGCAAGCCCATAGGGAAAATCGTCTTGCGAAGCAACTCAAAAACGGAAAACCCTTTCGTCTAGCGGGTTTTCCGCCTTGCGAGGCATTCGTCTTGCGGGGCACCACTGTAATCTGGGGAACCGGGTTCGCGTCTCCGCTCCTCCACCTGCAGCTGCTGGGTAACCTTGGGCCAGTCACACTTCTCTGAAATCTCTCAGCCCCACTCACCTCACAGAGTGTTTGTTGTGGGGGAGGAAGGGAAAGGAGAATGTGAGCCGCTTTGAGACTCCTTAAAGGGAGTGAAAGGCGGGATATCAAATCCAAACTCTTCTTCTTCTTCTATGGACTAACCCATAGAAAGTTTTTGAGGTGTGTTCTGCGGAATTCTCTTGCTCCTTAGTAATGGCAAGGAAGCTTTGACAGGACCGCGGCCCTGCAATGCGCAGCAGCTGGGAACGGCAGTGCGTTGCCAGGGCAAAAGTCCAGGTCACTCAGCTGAGGTTTCGTGTGTTGGGTGACCGATATGCCGGACCCAAACAGCTCTCTTCTTTGGCCTCTTTGCTGTGGGGAGTGGCTTCTTTCCCCCCCGGAGAAAACGTGTGCTTGTATCTGATCCCCATCTCTGGTCTCCTTTTCGCAGAGATCTACCGCATTGTGTCGCAGAAGCAGATTGCGGACCGGTCCGCCCACGACGAGTCTCCCGGCAACAACGTGGTGGACATCAGCGTGCCCCCCACCACCGACGGACAGAAATCGAACAAACTCCAGTGTTGCCAGAACCTGTGACCTCCCTGGGGCTGCCACCTGCCCCTCCCTTGGCCTGTGCTTCAGAGGGAAAACTCGTGTGCACCTTCTCCTCACAGCAACTCCATTCAGTGACACTCTCTCTCTCTCTCTCTCTCTCTCTCTCTCTCTCTCTCCTCTCTGCCCCTTCCACCTTAGAGGGTTCCTCTTAGGGCTTGCATTCCCTTTCCTCCAAATCCTTTCGAATGTGATTTATCTTGGGGGGTTTTAAATAGAAGCATTTAGCAGACAGGTGGGTTTGTGTGTGGGAAAGAGAGACAGAACACCTACCGGAGGTCCGTTGCTCCGAGACACTTGTTAAACTTCTCTTTGTTTGGTTTTTGTGTGCATGTGTGAGAGCGGGAAGGATGCAGAGGTTGTTGTTGTTCTAATAGAAAAAATAGCAGCACTTGGGGAGCACAGGAGGAGTGTTACTCTTTGTTTCCTCTCAGGCCATTCTCCAGGCACAAGAGAAATTCTAAACTAAGAAAACACTCACTTTGGGCTTGTCGGAAATGGTGGCGGTGGTCTTACCCTTGTGCGTGCACACGCTGTAAGTCCGTTGAAGATAACCTTTCCCCCGTTGCTTGTTCTTTGTCCTTCCCCTTCCCGTTTTAATGCTGAGTTGGCCTGGCTGTGTAGTTTTCACTGCTTTCTGCCCTGGGAAGTCTTTTCTTCTCAATGCATATATATATATATTTTCCAATTCAGTTTGGGAACAATGAAGTATGTCTGTGCGCTGCATTCCTCCCCCCCCCCCCCAGCTGCCAGCACGGCTGTGTGCAGGCTATATGAAGTGGCTTCTAATAGTGAATTAATTCTGGCTTTCTGTTAATCAGTCTAATGTACAATGAAGTGCCAGCCTAATGGCTTTATTAGAGCCTTTTTTTGTGATCTGTAGAAATCACACATCTTCACTCGTACCTGGAAATCCTTCTTTCTCAACTGTATCCGAGATTCTATCTCTGCATGTTGCGCTCTTTCTCTTTCTCTCTCTCTCCCAATCCCCACCCGACCTTTCTCTTCTCCCGATCCCCTGCTCCTTCCGCTCCATGCGAAAAAGACACACACCCTGGTGTGAGTGTGAAGCAATATTTTTCATGCTATGTACATAACCCGCACTGTTAAGGTTATTTGAATGGTTAGTTGTAGGCAACCAGATACTTGATAACTCCTCCTTTTTGTAATACTTGAGCATAACCATAGCATCTTGGGGCTTTTTTTCTTATCTCTCGGTGGTTCACTTGCTTTCAGTTCTGACCTCCTTGCGCTGCAGCCCCCCACCCCGCCCCAAATGCTGCCCCCGCCTCCCTTCTCTCGTCCTGCTCCCTTGAGGTTTGAAGGTTTCTGTTTTTGTCAACGACTACACTCCACTGGCAGGGCTAAACACCACCCAAACTTAGCTGGAAAAGCGTTTGTCTCCTTGAAACCACCCCTGTGCTAGCTTGAGAAGGTCTCAATGGCTGTTGCTTTCCTCACCTTCCGACTGTTCTTGTGCTGTTGGGGTTTTGGGGGTTTCTGAAGCAAGGGCGAATGTTGCATTGAAGGGTGGGGCCGCCAGATAGCTACGGCAGGCGGAAGAGAGATTGTGCTTATTGGCCGTCTTGCAGCAACCGTGCAGTGATTGTGAAATATCCTGGACCCTGCCCAGTCCGATAGGTGTTGCCTGCCATTGCTGAGGCTTTCCCAATCCGGTTAAAAACGCTTTAGCAGCCAATCTCTAACCCCTTGCATAGATTCTCATACGGAGCAAGGCTTTTCAGTTGGTTGACCAAGTTAAAGACAACAGCTCTGTCTAGCGGGGAGCTTTTAAACCTTTCATCCACTTTAGAGCACCCCTTGGCACCCGTGTGAGGCGGAACAAAACTGATGGCTTGCTGATGACCGAGCTCAGACAAAGACGCGGTCTCTCCCTGGGATTTGTGGCCAGTAATTGCTGAGTCGCAATGTACTAGAGAAATGAAGAGGGCATTCTTGGAGAAGCCCTGAACGCTTCTTTCCATTTTCTGTGGGTGTAGAATCTTAAAATGATCAAGAGTGGATTCTGGAAGGAGGCCGGGTGGTTCACTGCTGGATCCAGCCTGTTGGCTATATGGTTTTCCACCCCAGGTGTCAATAATAGTAATGCTGATTATGGGCTGGCGATTGTGTGGCCCCTTGCTTTTGATAAAACTAGTGTGGATCTGAGTTGCTCTGGCTTTCGTGGTCATCTCTATGGAGATGTCTCCTGGGGCAGGCCTCCCCTGTTGCATGAGATGCGTCCAGCTTGCAAAAAAAGGGGCCCTTGCTATTGTCTCAGCACTTTCTCCCTATGTTTCCACCATGAGGTGAGGGATTTGCCCTCGGTGCAAACACAGGCGATATTGTGCAGCTTAGGAAGCTACACTGTCACAGATGAGGGAAATTGGCGTTTCTGGTTAGATGTACAATAACCTCAAGTCCACCCATGCCTTAAGAGAACAGGCATCCGCAATGGCTTTTGAGAGGACTTCCCAGGTTAAAAATCAGAGTTACGGTTTAGCCTCTCCCAGATAGGCTACAAAACGTGGGTCTGATTTCTTGAGAGTTCCTGTTGAAGGAAGAGAGAAGCATTCTCTGTGGGATTAAAGTGTTCGCGTTTATTAGGCACTGAGCTCCAGTTCAAACCAAATTTTGAGCCAGCTTTGGGTTTTGCTTCTTTCCATGGTGGGGAAAAGATCACAACTGACCCACGCACGTCATTTGACGGCTGGGCTTTCGGAGAGCACCACGCTGTTGAGGAACGATTCCAGGATGCTCTGAAACTAACTGCTTGACCTCCACTTGTTGCTGAACTGTGACTCCTTGTCAGCCTTCCCACACCTGCTGTAATAGAAGCCACGGGCACCCCTTCATTTTTTAGGGATCTAGAATTGCATTACGTAGTGTTGGGAGAGAAGGGAAGAGGGTGGAAGGAGAACAGGCCGGGCTGCTTGCCAGCGCTACATGCGCAATTATTTTTAAAAATGGCAATTCGGTTGCAGCTTGTCCCACTTCCCATGAGCAGCAGAAGGCTTTGAGGCCCTCCACTTCTCAATGCACCTCTCTGTCTTCACTTGGGGCGCTCCCTGCCCCGGACACTTTCTTGAGAAACACCTGCCAACTCTCTGCAGCCTACTGCACTGTCGCTATCCTTGGTGGTGGAGCCTCCAGACCTAGGGAAATGAAAGCTGATTCAGCGGCCTTCTCCCTCCGCACATAGAGGTTAGAGGCTATAGTCAAACAGTTAAGCAGCCAAGCTGTGCGCAAGAATCACCCCCCTATTGTGCTTCTTTCAAAGCTCGCTTGAGGTGGAGAAAGGTCTCTGTACACCCTCCTCTCCCTGCTCCTTTTTCTCTTGTGCGGCGCAATCCTTTCCACTCCAGCATGTCATGGTTTCTCTGAGGGACTAGGGCCAATTGAACTATTAGTGGTGCTCGGCAGCAGGAAACCAACCCCCTTTGAGATACATGCCAGGACTCGTAGGGCGGTAAGCAAGACCTCTCTGGCAGTACTCTTTGGGGTGGGGTGGGGAGCACCGTAAAGAGGCCAGTGCAAGTGTCCTTTGCTTAGGGAATACAACAAGGGGCACCACCAAAAGTCTTGGAATAGGCGGCAGGATACTGGCAAGAATTCTAGAAAGGTTTCTGAAACTTGCTCTCACAAGTAAACCCTTTTTAGATGGCTTTGGACTATACTCTTGGCTTGGGAGGGGGGGGAGGGAACGGGCGAGGTTCCTTTTCATTTGCTTCCTGGTGACTCTTCTGTTTAAAAAGTGCAATTCCCTTTGTAAATACTCATTTGATATTTTTTTTTTTGTGCATGGTTATTATGTATTGTGGATATATAAAGATTGCCAAACCAAATGATGCATTTGTTTTGTTTGTTTTTAACACTGAATCCGGAGCCTGGCGCAGAGTTAAAAGGAACAGAATTTGGCTTCCTGGAAATCTGGCCTTGCTTGCTTTTCTTTTTGGGGGGGAAAAGCAAGATTCTGGCCCTCATGGCAAGGAAGATGCTTTTGAAAGTATGTGCATACAGTCTGGTGAGAAGCCATAGCGGCAGCTGGATAAGTCTTTGAGTGTCTGGAAAGGACGTTAGTGCCCTTTCCAGGTTGCTTGCTTGCCTGCATGGAATTCTGGTAACCTACCGACTACCAAGCAAGTTGTGAAACATAAGCATGTCTTGGACTGTACTCATAGATTGAGCTCCCAGGAACAGGAAAGGCAATCGCGAAAATGCTGTGTCATTTGACAACGTTGTTCCCAACTCGGCTGGAAACTAAGCTAGAGATCTGCACAAATTTTCTAAAACCTGGTGCTTGTGGAATAACATTACCTTTTCCCTCTGTCCCCCGCCCCGCCACGATGCTGTGTTTATGATTCTCAACTGCACAACAGTCCTTTTTTTTTGCATACCCATTCCCTTGCTGTGAACATAGCCTTGATTTTCTGGCTTTTGATACGTCTCTCTGAGCTTTCTGAGCTCTGTGGACAGGCTCTCTTAGGGTTACCGGTTACAAGTCTCTGGCGAAAGAATCCTGCTGCGTTTACAACAGGACTTTTAGTGCGTGGTGCAATGTGATCTCTCTGCCGCTGTGCTGCAAACTTAGAGAGAGCCCTTTACCAAGTACCTCTGCTCATGGTTACTAAAATTAGTCTGTTTCCCCAAGCAATCTTTGCAAAGCATCATCACATTAAAAACCCCCACGAAAGCCTGAGCCTGGCATCAGCTGTTCTGCTATGTTTAAAAGTCTCCTAATTTGGATATTTCCCAGGATCTAGGAAAGGCTGCAATACCATGTATATGTACCTGGGATCTTTCAAGCCCCATTGAACACAGTGGAATGTAGTGTGATCCTATATGTTTATTTGGAAGCATGATTACGGAGGGGGCAATAAAGAAATAACAAAGAAATTGAATGAGTGGGCACCTTATTATTGCAGTCATTTTTTACTTGTCCCATAAAGGGAACCATACAGATGGCTAAAAGGGGTTGGCGGCTAAACAACCAAATCTTGTAGAACTTTCTGTAAGTGCTGTCACACGCTGAACCGAATGAGTTACCGTGGGATGTCGTAAACATCAGTTGTATACAGGTAACTCGTGACTTAAGCATGTTCAACGTGTGCATTTAGCTTTACACATTTGGCAAAATACCAGACCACAAGACGCACCTAGTTTTTGGAGGAGGAAAACAAGAAGAAAAAAATTCTGAATCTCAGAAGCCAGAACAGCAAGAGGGATCGCTGCGCAGTGAAAGCAGCAATCCCTCTTGCTGTTCTGGCTTCTGGAATAGCTGCGCAGCCTGCATTCGCTCCATAAGACGCACACACATTTCCCCTTACTTTTTAGGAGGGAAAAAGTGAGTCTTATAGAGCAAAAAATACGGTAAATGAATAAACAGACGGGGTGGAAAGGGGCTGGGCATACAGGAAAAACCCCAAAACTTTGGCAATCCCACCCATCACGTTCCACTGCCCCCTTAATCGTGAGGGCAAGCTGGCTCACTTGGCCCCACCACCAACTTCACCTTATGTATCTCCCCCACTTGCAAACAGGCAGAGACCCTGCCTGCGTATAACCTGCTGCTTCTGCTCCTCTCACTTCAGTCCTCTCCTGGTCCTGGGAGACAGTGGGGCAGGAGGAGGAGATGTGGAAGCCCTTTGCTCTCCATCAGCCTGAACTATCTATGCCTCCTCCTGCACCAGTTCCTCACTCTCCAGTTCTGCAGCCTCTCCTGCCTCTGACTATCCTCTCCCAGCTGTTACAGGCTCCCCCAGATCATGGATCCCTTCTTCCAAGTCAGCCTCTAATAATAATAATAATAATAATAATAATAATAATAATAATAATAATAATAATTATTATTATTATTATTATTATTATTATTATTATTATTATTATTATTATTATTATTATCCTGCCCATCTGGCTGGGCTTTCACTTAGCCTCACTTATGGTCATTTGTCATTTTGAGATTGCCAGTGTCTCTTTAATAATAATATTTATACCCTGCCCATCTGGCTGGGCTTCCCCAGCCACTCTGGGTGGCTTCCAAAAAATATTAAAATACTATAATCCATCAAACATTAAAAGCTTCCCTAAACAGGGCTGCCTTCAGATGTCTTCTAAAAGTCTGGTAGTTGTTGTTTTCTTTGACATCTGGTGGGAGAGCGTTCCACAGGGCGGGCGCCACTACCGAGAAGGCCCTCTGCCTGGTTCCCTGTAGCTTTGCTTCTCGCAATGAGGGAACCGCCAGAAGGCCCTCGGTGCTGGACCTCAGTGTCCGGGCAGAATGATGTGGGTGGAGACGCTCCTTCAGGTATACTGGACCGAGGCCGTTTAGGGCTTTAAAGGTCAACACCAACACTTTGAATTGTGCTCGGAAACGTACTGGGAGCCAATGTAGGTCTTTCAAGACCGGTGTTATGTGGTCTTGGTGGCCGCTCCCAGTCACCAGTCTAGCTGCTGCATTCTGGATTAGTTGTAGTTTCCGGGTCACCTTCAAAGGTAGCCCCACGTAGAGCGCATTGCAATAGTCCAAGCGGGAGATAACCAGAGCATGCGTCACTCTGGCGAGACAGTCTGCGGGCAGGTAGGTAGACAGCTGCCCTGGACACAGATTTGACCTGCGCCTCCATGGACCGCTGTGAGTCCAGAATGACTCCCAGGTTGCGCACCTGGTCCTTCAGGGACACAGCTACCCCATTCAGGACCAGGGAGTCCCCCACACCCGCCCGCCTCCTGTTTCCCCAAAATAGTACTTCCGTCTTGTCAGGATTCAGTCTCAATCTGTTAGCCGCTATCCACTCAACCACGTTTCTGCCCACTCCCCAGTGTCCAGCCAGCCCCCAACAGGAAATGGGACCGCAGACCTCCCTCTATTGACACCTCGATTTAGCACTGAGTCCATGATGGATCGCCACCTCCATGGTTTGGGTCGGCTCTCCCTCAAAAGCCTGACATTCTGGTTACACGTTTATTGGGCATATTTAAAAACCCTATCAATTAAAAAACAGCACATAATAATTTCTTCTGTGGAGTGGAATGGTTGGAAGGGGATGTGGCAATCGGCTGACTTTTGCTGGAAGCAGGAAGACTTGCTTATCTGCTATCTATTCAGAGCAGTGTAGTAAAAAAATAGCTGGAGACCCAAGTTTGGGGAACCCTGATTTTGAGCATTTGTACCCTACTTGTTTGGGTGGCGCTGTGGGTTAAACCACAGAGCTTAGGACTTGCTGATCAGGTCGGCGGTTCGAATCCCCGCGGTGGGGTGAGCTCCCGTTGTTCGGTCCCTGCTCCTGCCAACCTAGCAGTTCGAAAGCACAAGTAGATAAAGTAGATTGAGCCCGGAGAGGGCGTCCTCTCCATTTACTACCTGGTAATAATAATAATGACACGGGTGGCGCTGTGGGTTAAACCACAGAGGCTAGGACTTGCCAATCAGAAGGTCGGCGGTTCGAATCCCCACGACGGGGTGAGCTCCTGCCAACCTAGCAGTTCGAAAGCACATCAAAGTGCAAGTAGATAAATAGGTACTGCTCTGGAGGGAAGGTTAACGACATTTCCATGCACTGCTCTGGTTCGCCAGAAGCAGCTTAGTCCTGCTGGCCACATGACCCTGAAGCTGTACGCCGGCTCCCTCTGCCAATAAAGCGAGATGAGCGCCGCAACCCCAGAGTCGGCCACGACTGGACCTAACGGTCAGGGGTCCATTTACCTTTACCTTTATGTCCTTTTTGCATTATTATTATTTTTTTTAAAATGCCCACTCAGTTGGGTAGGCTCAGTTTCACTTAATGTTTGCTTTTGGAGTTGTTGTTTTTATTTTTTTTAAGTGCTATTTAAAGGAACTTTATTCATCATTAAAAGCCAGACAGAGGGCCTTCTCGGTAGTGGCACCTGCCCTGTGGAACGCCCTCCGTTCAGATGTGAAGGGAAGCAGCTATCTTCTCTTTAAAAGACATCTGACGGCAGCCCTGTTTAGGGAAGTTTTTAATATTTAATGCTGTATTGTTTTTAACTCTTGATTGGGAGCCGCCCAGAGTGGCTGGGGAAACTCAGCTAGATGGGCGGGGTATAAATAATAATATATATATATATATTAATTATATATTATCATCATCATCATCATCATCATCCGGAAAGGAAAAAAAAAGAATGTTGATGGTATTTATCACCTCTGTATTTGTCCACCTAAAGAGGGAACCGCATCCTTGTTCGAATGGGAACCTGAAATCAACGTCTGCGAATCTCTCGCCTTTCCCCTTTGGTTTGGCGCAGACCCAGCCAGGAGGCGTGGCTGGGCGTCGCAAGAGGCCCCGCCCCTTCCCTCCCTCTTCTTCCCCCGCCAACCCCGGACAGCAGCAGCGAATTGATTGGCCGCCCGGGCCGTGACCGTTACGCCTCGCGCTGCGCCGCCCGACTGCGCGTGCGCCAGCGGCTCCCTCGCAGGGGGCGGGCCCCGCTTGGCTCGAGGCCGCGCCATTGGCTGCTTCCCGAAGCCGTCGCCGCTGATTGGCTGAGCGGAGGGGGGCAGGGGGCGTGCCGGGCGCTTCCAGTCAGGTGCGGACGCCGCTGACAGAGGCAGGCGGAGGCGGCCGCCTCCTCCTCCTCCTCCTCCTCCCGCGCTGCTTCTTCCCCAGCACCCGCCAGCCTGGGGAGATGGGGCGGCCGGAGCCTCGGCCCTGAGGGGAAGGCGCCAAGGAACGGGCCGGCGGAAGGGCGGGGCTCTGGCGGAAGGGGCGGGGCGCAGGTAAGGAGGGGGCGGGGCTTGGGGTTGAGTGACAGGCGCTCCAGGAAGGGGGCAGGAGGGGGGTCTCTGGAGGGGCTTCGCCTTGCTGGGTCCGCCTCCGAATAGGCCGGCCTCACCCAGAACCCTGCTCCAAATCCCCACCCCAGGGGGAAGGCTGCAGGTACACTGCTTCTGGGTATGGAGGCTCCATGGCAAGGGACCCCGAGGGTCATCTAGTCCAGTGTCCCCCAACCTTGGGCCTCCAGCTGTTTTTGGACTACAACTCCCATCATCCCTCGCTAGCAAGACCAGTGGTCAAGGATGATGGGAATTGTAGTCCAAAGACAGCTGGAGGCCCAAGCTTGGGGAACACTGATCTAGTCCACCCCCCCCCCCTGCCATGAAGGAATCTCAGCTAAAGGCATCCCTGACAGGGATTTCCTCTGCTGGGAAAAGGAGGGAGAGGCCGCCACACCCCCGGGGAGACCCTCCCACTGTGGAAAGGATCTTACCCTCCGAAAGGGGGTCCCTGCATTTTCAAAAGGGGGGGGGGGCGGGGAAGACCAACCAGTGAACTCGTCACCCATAACAGGAAAGGTCCAGGCAATTCAACAGTTGGTGTGTGAGCACTGGTAAAGGGACCCCTGACCATTAGGTCCAGTCGTGGCCGACTCTGGGGTTGCGGCGCTCATCTCGCTTTATTGGCCGAGGGAGCCGGCGTACAGCTTCCAGGTCATGTGGCCAGCATGACTAAGCCACTTCTGGCGAGCCAGAGCAGCGCACGGAAACGCCGTTTACCTTCCCGCCGGAGCGGTACCTATTGATCTACTTGCACTTTGACGTGCTTTCGAACAGCTAGGTTGGCAGGAGCAGGGACCGAGCAACGGGAGCTCACCACGACTGGACCTAATAGGCAGGGGTCCCTTTACCTTTACCTTGGGCAATTCCAAACCTAACCCTGATTATTCTTGCTCTCCTTCCTCACCCCATTTGTGACCCCCCTCCCACCCCGCCGGCCAGGTTTCATTCCTCTACTCCCTCGGCCAATAAAGCAAGATGAGCGCCGCAACCCCAGTCGGCCACGACTGGACCTAATGGTCAGGGGTCCCTTTACCTTTAAATACTGCAAGAGCCAGCCCCTGCTCGCCTGAAAGTTGGGTTTGCTTTGTACATGGGCTCTTGCAGGCATTTGAAACAGTCCAGTTAACCACCTCCTCATTGCTGCGGGCGACTTCACCAGGCGGCGACAACAGATCTGCATTCGGGGACCTTTGCCCCATGCCATTTTTGTGTGCTGGCGAGGGAATGGCCTGAGAGAGAGAGAGAGGCAGGAGAAGCGTTCTGGATTTTGCATGTTTAAAACGATGAGGTGGGAAACGTTTTGGAACCAGTAGGCACTCCCTGCCTTTGCCGTGGTTCCAGGAGTAGCCAGGAACCTGGGATTTCCCCAGCGCGGGCTGAGAAGCAAAGACCCGAGGGAAGGTAGAAAGGCAGATTGCGGATGTCCGGGTGACTTGAAGATGGCAGAAGCATTAGGAACTCAGATATATAAGCTAATCGCCGAACGGCACCTTAAACCTACAGTTGCCACAATTAGGGGCCATTTCCCCCAAAATGGGGTGTGTTGTGGCGGGTTATTATTATTAATTTCTAGTCTATACTACGTTGTATTTTAAAGAGGGAGGCACGGGGATATCTCAAAGCTGTTTACAGCCCATTAGCGCATCAAATAAAACAACCCAGAATGAAATGAATCCAAGCTTCCGGGAAAATATTTCAGATTCTTTTCTAAGTGACATTTCGCTTTCTCCATATTTTTTTTTACCTAAATTTATAGAGCTTCTCCCATAGCGGAAGGATTCTACAGAGCCAGTGTGGAGTAATGGTTAGAGTGACGGACGAGGGCCTGGGAGATCGGGGTTCGAATCCCCACTCCCGTCATGAAGCTCAGTGGAATTTGTGGGAAAGCTTAATTATGTTTACAGACCCAAGTAGTCTTAAAATGTATGTTGTTTTTTTAAAATATATATATGAATAGGACCCAATGGAAAGCGGGTGCTGATAACTAACTGGATTGGAGCAGGCAGAAGTGTAGGGTGGGAGTTAACCCTTTACTCCCTTGCTGTGCAACCAGCTCCTTTGAAGCTGCTATTTGCATTGAAAGGATATGCTACACAATTCACATTTCCATCCCCACCCCAATACCTGCTACTTTAGGATAACCCTTGCTGAAGTAGCCTGCGGTCTACAGAAGTCCATGACACAATAAACTGGTAAAGTCTTTAAGGTGCCCATGATATTCTTGGTTGCTTTTCCCTTGGGGCTGTGCAACACAGATCTTAAGAGGAAAAGAAGATTTTGAGGTGTGCATTTTGAGAATGCATAGGCAAAGTTATTCTCCCTCACTCCTGAGAAGAGTTTGCGGTCAGCTGGTTGTGGGACCAGTTTCACGCTGGCTAAGTTTTAAGGGATGTTGCCTTCCTTGGGTCGGGTGCTTAGAAATCGACCACATGAAAAGGGAGGAGCTGTTCCCTGTTTTATTATCCAAGCGACTGCTTTTCAGAATGATGAAGACCACAAAGGCAGCTCATTTTTCCAGGAACAGTCCTTCCTTCCTGGACATTTGCTGACCGATGCAGGACGCACACATTTCTTGAACAATGGGGATCCTCTTGGGAGACGTTCCCCTGCCTTTTTGTTCTGTAATTAACTAAGACATAAATACAAAGTCCGCCGAGTATGTTTCCGTCTCCTCCCCTGCGCCACACACACATTGCATTCCTTCACCTTCTTCGAAACCGTGTTGTTGCTAATATGTCATGTTTGTGAGAATCTAGGGCCTGTGCAAATGCAGAACAGGATGTGTGTGATTTTCCTAGACATGCTTGCATAGCTCAGTTGTTTAGACGTTAGAGCATGATGCCGATAGCTTCAAGGTTGCAGGTTCAATCCCTAAAAAGGACAGAGCTCTGCGTATTCTTGTATAGTCGTACCTTGGAAGCCAAATGCATTGGCTCCCGAACGATCGAAACCCGGAAGTGAGTGTTCTCCTGCTGCCAATCGGAAGCCGCGCTTTGGTTTCCGAACGGTTCCAGGAGCCGAACGGACTCCCGGGACGCATTCTGTTCGAAAACCAAGGTACCACTGTTATCCTCAGGGTCCCTTTCAGCTCTATGATTCTTTTTGATAGAGTGTGTGTACAAGCCTCACTTATGGTCATTTGTCATTTTGAGATTGCCAGTGTCTCTTTAATAATAATATTTATACCCTGCCCATCTGGCTGGGCTTCCCCAGCCACTCTGGGTGGCTTCCAAAAAAATATTAAAATACTATAATCCATCAAACATTAAAAGCTTCCCTAAACAGGGCTGCCTTCAGATGTCTTCTAAAAGTCTGGTAGTTGTTGTTCTCTTTGACATCTGGTGGGAGGGCGTTCCACAGGGAGGGCGCCACCACCGAGAAGGCCCTCTGCCTGGTTCCCTGTAACTTGGCTTCTCGCAGTGAGGGAACCGCCAGAAGGCCCTCGGTGCTGGACCTCAGTGTCTGGGTAGAACGGTGGGGGTGGAGACACTCCTTCAGATATACTGGACCGAGGCCGTTTAGGGCTTTAAAGGTCAGCGCCAACACTTTAAACTGTGCCTGGAAACGTACTGGGAGCCAATGAAGGTCTTTCAAGACCCGTGTTATATGGCCTCGGCGGCCGCTCCCATTCACCAATCTAGCTGCCGCGTTCTCGATTAGTTGTAGTTTCCGGGTCACCTTCAAAGGTAGCCCCACGTAGAGCGCATTGCGGTAGTCCAAGCGGGAGATAACTAGAGCATGCACCACTCTGGCGAGGCAGTCCGCAGGCAGATAGGGTCTCAGCCTGCGTACCAGATGGAGCTGGTAGACAGCTACCCTGGATACAGAATTGACCTGCGCCTCCATGGGCAGCTGTGAGTCCAAAATGACTCCCAGGCTGCGCTTCTGGTCCTTCAGGGGCACAGTTACCCCATTCAGGACCAGGGAGTCCTCCACACCAGCCCGCCCCCTGTCCCCTAAAAACAGTACTTCTGTCTTGTCAGGATTCAACCTCAATCCAATGATAACGCCACAGTTGCAGGTTCAATCCCTAAAAAAGGACCGAGCTCTGCATATGCTTGTATAGTCGTACCTTGGAAGCCGAGTGCATTGGCTCCCGAACAAATTGGCTCCCGAATGATTGAAATCCAGAAGTGAGTGTTCTCCTGCTGCCAATCGGAAGCCATACTTTGGTTTCTGAATGGTTCTGGGAGTCGAATGGACTCCCAGGACGCATTCTGTTCGAAAACCAAGGTACCACTGTTATCCTTCCTTTCAGCTCTATGATTCTTTTTGATAGTGTATAGAGGCCTCACTTATGGTCATTTGTCATTTTAAGATTGCCAGTGTCTCTTTTTCTCTATTTTGCCTTGATGAATGAGACACGGAAGCTGAAGAAAGTCTCTTTTTCTCACCTGGATGGCCCATCCACAGAGCGTCTCAGCCTCTGGCCCCCAGGCGTCCTCCCACTGACCTGACTGCATTGTGATTAGATGGACCATGTTACCTGTCAATCAAGAGCCATCTGAGCCAGAAAGTCTTATAAGGAGCATTGATGCCATATAGTCTCTTCACCAGGCATAGGCAAACTCGGCCCTCCAGATGTTTTGAGACTACAATTCCCATCATCCCTGACCAATGGGCCTGTTAGCTAGGGATGATGGGAGTTGTAGTCCCAAAACATCTGGAGGGCCGAGTTTGCCTATGCCTGCTCTTGACCTTTAACGCTGCGATTTTACACTCAGTTGTAAGTAATCGCAGCAGGGATGATTCACAGATGGTATTTAACTCTGAGTAGGCTTGCTGATGTGTATAAGACTGAATCAGATTAGTGCTGGAGATGCAAAGCGGTTGAGGGAATGTTCTTTCATAAAAGGGTAAGAGAGTACTGGGAAATGATCCATAATGAATTGAGAAAAAATGTTTTAAAGTATTCCCCCCCAACCCCCCAACCCCAGTCTCTTCTGTTGGGCATATTTCAGACTGAAATTCTCAGGGGTCAAAAAATGTATGCTACTACTGTGGCCCGTGTTTCGTTAGCCCAAAAATGGAAAATGAGTGAGGTCTCAATCAAAGAAGAATGGCAACTTAAGTTGACAGAATACAGTGGTGCCTCGCAAGATGAAATTAATCCGTTCCGCGAGTCTCTTCGTCTTGCGGTTTTTTCGTCTTGCGAAGCACGGCTATTAGCGGCTTAGCGGCTATTAGCGGCTTAGCGGCTATTAACGGCTTAGCGGCTTTAAGAAAAAGGAAACAAACTCGCAAGAACTCGCAAGACGTTTCGTCTTGCGAAGCAAGCCCATAGGGAAATTCGTCTTGCGGAACGACTCAAAAAACGGAAAACCCTTTCGTCTTGCGAGGCATTCGTCTTGCGAGGCATTCGTCTTGCGGGGCACCACTGTATGTGCAGCTTGCAGACTTAACATATAGAGTAAGAGAACAAGAAGAACATACATTTAGAGAAGACTGGGAAATGTTTATTGAATATATGGGAAATATATATATATATATATATATATATATATATACACACAGCTGAAAACACTGGCAGCATTCAGATAAATTCAACAGTGTAAGCTTTGATGGATGTAATAATTGAATACTGAACGGTTTAGCTTTTGTAAAATATGCAGGGATTTATGATATGTAAAATGAACCATGGAAAGAGAAAAAGAGAAGTCACCGATATCTTAAGGATGTAAAATTGGGTACTTTTGATTGTAAAACAGAAAATTGCCAATTGAGCAGCAAAGCGACAAGCCGCGAGTTGTATCAGGCCCGACTTTGACCAGCGCTTTCTGTCTCTTCCTCAGGCCTACCATGATTCTGCTCTCCGGCTGCTGATGCCATCGCATCCTCGGTTGCCATGACAACGGGCGACTGCTGCCACCTCCCGGGCTCGCTGTGTGACTGTCCGGGCAGCGCCGCGTTGTCCAAGTCGGTGGAAGATTCCGACTTTGGGCGTCCTCAGTACGTCACCCAAGTCACGGCCAAGGACGGACGGCTGCTCTCGACTGTCATCAAAGCCCTGGGGACGCAGAGGTGAGGCCGAGGCGCCCCAGGCTTGCGACGGATTGGTCCGGGGATGTGAGCCTGGGTAGCCGGCAAGAGGGGCGTCCTTTGACCCTGAAGGGCCGAGTTTAGTTTAGAGTCAAAGAAGCAGAAAGCCTTTTAGCGGTGGTTGGGATGGTCAGAGTTGGGAGGACACCTGCAAAAACATAATGATACACAAGTCTGTGCCTCCTCCTGTTACCCACTTAAAACATCCTTTTATTCAGAGGACTGGAATCCTACATAGTTTGAGTAGTGTTAGAAACTCAGATATATTACTTAACTGCCAAATGGCACCTTAAACCTAGGTCGTGGTTGCCACAATGAGATGTCTAGGTACCATTTTCCCCCCAGTGAAGAAGAAGAAGAATTAATTTCACTTCTATACTGCTTTGTAAGGGACGTGGGTGGCGCTGTGGGTTAAACCACAGAGCCTAGGGCTTGCCGATCAGAAGGCCGGCGGTTTGAATCCCTGCAACGGGGTGAGTTCCCGTTGCTCTGTCCCAGCTCCTGCCAACCTATCAGTTCGAAAGCACGAAGTGCAAGTAGATCAATAGGTACCGCTCCGGCGGGAAGGGAAACGGCGTCTCCGTGCGCTGCTCTGGTTCACCAGAAGCGGCTTAGTCCTGCTGGCCACATGACCTGGAAGCTGTACGCCGGCTCCCTCGGCCAATAAAGCGAGATGAGCGCCGCAACCCCAGAGTCGTCTGCGAATGGACCTAATGGTCGGGGGTCCCTTTACCCTTTACACTGTTTTGTATTTTAAAGAAATAGTCTCAAAGCAGGTTAAAATAGCAAGTAAAGCAATGCAGAATAAAACAAAATGAAGCTTTAAGGGAAATGTTTCAGATTCTTCTCTAAGGGACATTTTGCTTTTCCCCATACCTATTTACCTACTCAATCTAAAGAGCTGCCCCATAGCCGAAGTGCTGTAGTAAACAAACCCTTCTGCTGACCTGCTTAAGTAAGCTGGAGGGGTCAGCCAGATGGAGATGTCAGCTGCCAGCCTGGCACTCGGAGATCTCTGCGTGGTCACGATTGGACCCGCGCCAGGGGCAGAACCTGCCTGGCGTCTGGGGAATTTCTAGCACGGGGGTTTGAGAAAGAAAGGATGCAACTCGGACGTTGCGTTCAGAAGCACTTGGGTTGAGTTCCCAGCGTCTCCACGTACGGTCGGGAGAATCTCCCTGTCTAGAATAATAATAATAATAATAATAATAATAATAATAATAATAATAATAATAATTAATATCCCGCCCTCCCCAGCCGAAGCCGGGCTCAGGGCGGCTAACAACAATAAAACAGTACAACACAACACTCTAAAATCATTCATTATAAAATTAATTCAAATCAAACCAATGGCAACCATTGGGCCAGAGCTCCGTGAAGATTGCCAAAGGAGGGAGTCAGGCTGTGCCCTGGCCAAAGGCCTGGTGGAACAGCTCTGTCTTGCAGGCCCTGCGGAAAGATGTCAAGTCCCGCAGGGCCCTAGTCTCTCGTGACAGAGCTTTCCACCAGATTGGAGCCACAGCCGAAAAAGCCCTGGCTCTGGTTGAGGCCAGCCTAACCCCCCTGTGGCCTGGGACCTTCAAGATGTTTTTTATTTGAAGACCGTAAGTTTCTCTGTGGGACATACCAGGAGAGGCGGTCCCGTAGGTACGAGGGTCCTAGGCCGTATAGGGCTTTGAAGGTTAAAACCAGCACCTTAAACCTGATCCTGTACTCCACCGGGAGCCAGTGCAGCTGGTATAGCACCGGGTGAATGTGATCTCGCAGCGAAGACCCCGTAAGGAGTCTCGCCGCAGCATTCTGCACCCGCTGGAGTTTTTGGGTCAGTCTCAAGGGCAGCCCCACGTAGAGCGAGTTAGAATAATCCAGTCTGGAGGTGACCGTCGTGTGGATCACAGTGGCGAGGTCAGGGCGAGAGAGAGGTCCTAGGCCGTATAGGGCTTTAAAGGACCCCAGGGAGCCACTGCCAGACAGTGGTCTGACTCTGCAGAAGGCAACTTCTTGTGTTTCTTCCTCTGCTGGAGGCGGCTTATCTATGGCCCTTTCCTGTTAGTCCGACTCACTCGCCCCCTGCACACAATCTCTCCAGACGCCCTTTGTGATGCTTCGGCTGCTGCCTGCTGGAATTTATCTCACATTCTCAGGTAGAACCCACGAAGCGGAATGCATTTGTTTTCACAGGATGGAAAGATGCAGGCAGATGCAGTCCTTTCCACCTGCTCCTGTCCGTGCCCTCGGTCTTCGCGCGAGGGCTGAGAAAAAGCAAGCCTGTTCAAGGCTGTCAATCAGGGAAGGGGGGTGTTTTTGGCCTGGCGGGCCCTGCAGGCCAACTTTAACTGGTGGACGGGGGGCACCCGTCTGCCAATCATCTGATGTCACGAGGATTTCTGGTGATTGATTGGTGAGCAGGACTGCCCATCTGTCCAAGTTGACCTGGGGGGGGGGCGGCCTGCTTCCCCAGCACGCTCCCTACATACAGTGGTACCTCAGGTTACATTCGCTTCAGGTTACATACGCTTCAGGTTAAAGACTCCGCTAACCTGTGATGTTCGGGCTGAAGAAAGCTTTTGAAGCTCCCAAACGATCAACCAGGAGGGAGAGAACATGCCAGTCGGGCATGTGTCTCTGCCAGAGTCCTACACACGAGTAGGATGAGCCTAACGGGAACAGAGGCAGGAAGGGTAACCATGTCAGATCACTAACTCCTTGAAATACAGTTTTTCTTCCGGATAGCTTGCCCATACACACTTTCCCCACCCCGGTCTTCTGAAAGTGGCTGAAGCCCCCTTCTCTTTTGCCTTCTCCTCGCAGCGATGGCCCGATCTGTCGAATCTGCCACGAAGGCGGAAGCGGAGAAGGCCTGCTCTCGCCCTGCGATTGCACGGGCACCTTGGGGACCGTCCACAAGAGCTGCCTAGAGAAGTGGCTTTCCTCCTCCAACACGAGCTACTGCGAACTGTGCCACACCGAGTTTGTCGTGGAGCGGCGGCCCAGGCCCCTGATCGAGGTGGGTTGCGCCTCCCTCGCTCGCCGCAGGGCGCGATCTCCGGGCTAGAGGTTTTGAGTGGGAAAGAGAACGACGAATCTGTTTCTTTGGAACACTTGCATTCTCCTTTGTGCCTCGCAAAAGATTCTCAAAATGAAACACTGCTTGGGTGTTATAAAAGGAGCAGATACGGCATGATCTCCCCGTGGAACCGGACTAGATCAGGCAGTGCTCCCTGCCTCTGCGGATCAGAGGTTCTCTCTAAGATCCTCTAAGGCAAGGGAGTGGGGCTGGGCGGCTGGAGTTATCTCAGCCCATGGTGGGAGCAGTCTTCCTTTTCTGGTAGTTGATGAGAAACACCAGTAGGATAGGCAGATACACATACTTGGAAGCTCACATATGGCAGCTGTCAAATAAATTAACTACAAGCTGTCAAATAAATTAACTACAAGCTGTCAAATAAATAACTACAAGAAAGAAGATTCCACCTAAACATTAGGAAGAACCTCCTGACAGTAAGAGCTGTTGGACAGTGGAATTTGCTGCCAAGGAGTGTGGTGGAGTCTCCTTCTTTGGAGGTCTTTAAGCAGAGGCTTGACAACCATATGTCAGGAGTGCTCTGATGGTGTTTCCTGCTTGGCAGGGGGTTGGACTCGATGGCCCTTGTGGTCTCTTCCAACTCTATGATTCTAAATTTGTGAGCAACTCCTTCATAGCCTGCGAACCTTCCACCCCATCGTAAATGGATAATAATGCTACCTCTGGACTGTCGGTCAGTGATTTCTGTTACCTCCTTAAGCACCCTTTGCCCCCCCCCAATGTACATATTTACACCCCCACCACATGTGAACATAATTCCCCGCTTCCCGGCATCCCCTCCAACATAACACCAAATATTCCTTGTTTATTTGATTTCAAAATTGTTTCCAGTGTGTTGCTGGACAGCAGGAACGCAGGCAGTTGCTTGCTCTCGATTTAGGCTCAGGCACCTTGTTTACTCCTGGGAGATAAAACTTATTTGGTACTAACAAGGTGGCTCTGAGAGTTCTCAAACAAGAGACAGAGCTTTCAGCTCCATCAGCGTTCCTGTTTTCATCTAATCTGACTGGCGTTAAATGCCATCTCCAAACTACCCGTATTTTTCGCTCTATAAGACACACCAGACTATAAGACACACCTAGTTTTTGGAGGAGGAAAACAAGAAAAAAATATTTTGAATCTCAGAAGCCAGAACAGCAAGAGGGATCACTGCGCAGTGAAAGCAGCAATCCCTCTTGCTGTTCTGGCTTCTGGGATAGCTGCGCAGCCTGCATTCGTTCCATAAGACGCACACACATTTCCCCTTACTTTTTAGAAGGGAAAAAGTGAGTCTTATAGAGCAAAAAATACGGTAATTTATAATCATTTTCTTTTATTCTCATAGACAACATTTTCAACGTGCGATTCTTTCCCCTTCATTCTGACAAATGAATCCCCCTCCGTCTCTTCCTTCCTTCTCTCCAGTGGCTGAAGGACCCCGGCCCACGCAACGAGAAACGGACGCTGTTCTGCGACATGGTGTGTTTCCTTTTCATCACCCCGCTGGCTGCCATCTCCGGCTGGCTTTGCCTCCGCGGTGCCCAAGACCACCTGCAGTTCAATAGCCGCCTGGAGGCCATCGGCCTGATTGCCCTGACCATAGCACTTTTTACCATCTATGTCCTTTGGACACTGGTGAGTGGTCACGCCCGCTTTGCTTCTTGGGGTTCTTCTTACACTAAATCAGTCTGCTCCTCCTCGTTACTATTATTTGGGGGCAGGTTATGGGCCAGTGATAGGGACGCGGGTGGCGCTGGGGGGTTAAACCACAGAGCCTAGGGCTTGCCGATCAGAAGGTCGGCGGTTCGAATCCCCGTGACGGGGTGAGCTCCCGTTGCTCGGTCCCTGCTCCTGCCAACCTAGCAGTTTGAAAGCACGTCAAAGTGCAAGTAGATCAATAGGTACCGCTCTGGCGGGAAGGTAAACAGCATTTCCGTGCACTGCTCTGGTTCGCCAAAAGCGGCTTAGTCCTGCTGGCCACGTGACCCGGAAGCTGTACGCCGGCTCCCTCTGCCAATAAAGCGAGATGAGCGCCACAACACCAGAGTCGGCCACGACTGGACCTAATGGGCAGGGGGCCCTTTACCTTTACCTTGGGCAATTCCAAACCTAACCCTGATTATTCTTGCTCTCCTTCCTCACCCCGTTTGTGACCCCCCTCCCACCCCGCCGGCCAGGTTTCATTCCGCTACCATTGCCAGCTGTACTCCGAGTGGCGAAGGACCAATCAGAAAGTCCGCCTGATGATCCCGGACTCGAGGAACCCGCACCCTGTCTCGCACTCGCTGCTCTCCGCCAAGCTCCTGAAGAAGAAGGCCGACGAGACGACCGTATGAGCCAGGAGCGGCCCTCCGTAGGCGAGGGGGGCCCTCCCCTCGCACGGGGCGGGGGGCGGGGAGGAGGGAGAGAGAGAGAGGAGAGCGGGATAGCACTTTCTCCCGCCCACAGCGGCAAAAGACTCGCCTAAACAATCAGCCCGACCAAAGGGGGAATCTTGCCACTTGCCCCGTTCCGCTGCGGCGAGAACACAGAACGACAACTGAGCCCCCCAGGGGTGTGTGCAATGAGCCTGGCTGGCGGTGGGCCCTGAGCGCCCGCCGGCCAGGCTCCGTCTTCGAGACGAAACCTAGCAAAGGAGAAAGAAAGCCTCTCCCTATATCCATATATCTATATTATATTACCATAATTATTGTTGTTATTATTATTATTATGATTTTGTCACTCTTCTTAATTTCCACGCCTGGTGTTGTCGCTGTTGCTGCTGTTGCTGTTTGTGTCCAGGCCCCTTTTTTTATGTTGTCCCGACAGACGTCCCCGCGAGAGATGCGGAGAGGCCACCTGCCCGTTGCTGCTGCTTCGACGCCCCACCACCACCCCCTCCCGCTCACCTCAAGGCCGTTGCGCTTTGTCGGTTTCGCCCGGTGGAGCATTTGCTGCGGAGGTTTCTCGCCGCCGCCCGAATTCTACGCGGCAACCGCTGCGGCTGCCGCATTTCGGGGAAGGCTCGAGAATCGATGAGTTCTTAACCCCCAGCGGTTTAATACCTGCTGTCCCTGTGGGTAGGAGCTGGGAAATGTCTGAGGAAGGCGAGGGCACCTCTGCAATAAATATTCACCCCGCGAAACACACCGGGCGTATTTTCAAGAACTTGCAATGACTTTCTAAGCTGTTATGAAAAGAAGCGGGGGGAAAGCAATGTGCAGCTTGTCATCTGATCGCATTTGGGAATGAATTGGTGCTCTTCCGAAGAACCGGAGGGTGGGAGGGAAGTTTCTTCCCCTTTTGCGCCCTTCTTTCCTCGGGGTCTCTCCAAGCCCCCTTTCCTGTTTTTGCACTACATAGATTTTTTGAGTGGGGGAGTGCCGAGCCCCCTCCCTCGTCCCCCCCCTCTTGTTTCTTTGTCAGTGATGTTTCTCTTCCCCGGCCAGAGGATTCTGTGTGTTTGAGAATGGATTTGAAGTATAATAATAATAATCCCAGGAGGAGTAAAAAAAGAAAAAAAAATTGAACCAATGTTGGGACTGGAGAAGTTTTTCTTTTTTTAAAAAAAAGAAGGTTGCGACTGACTGAGTGGTAGTTTTTGAGAAGTCTCGGCAGCTCGTTGCTGTAATAATTTGTGCGATACTCTCCGGCGTGGAAGGAAAGGTCTGTCCACGCTGGGGAAAGGGCTAAAAGTTTCTGAGCACTTGATCCGTGAAGAGCATACGGAAAGTTCATACAGTAGGTAAAGGTAAAAGTACCCCTGCCCGTACGGGCCAGTCTTGACAGACTCTGGGGTTGTGCGCCCATCTCACTCAAGAGGCCGGGGGCCAGCGCTGTCCGGAGGACACTTCCGGGTCACGTGGCCAGTGTGACAAGCTGCATCTGGCGAGCCAGAGCCGCACACAGAAACGCCGTTTACCTTCCCGCTAGTAAGCGGTCCCTATTTATCTACTTGCACCCGGGAGTGGCTTTCGAAACTGCTAGGTTGGCAGGCGCCGGGGACCGAGCAACGGAGCACACCCCGCTGTGGGGATTCGAACCGCCGACCTGACGATCGGCAAGTCCTAGGCGCTGAGGTTTTACCCACAGCGCCACCCGCGTCCCTTTGGGGTACCTTTACCTTAATCTTAAACAGCAATATTTACTTTCCCCCAGTCTTAAGCTTAAACAGCAAAGTCACTTTTCAGAGAGTTAAAAATGGTACATGTAGTGACTGCAATCAAACACAAGAGTTGAGTGCGGTGAAACCCATTACCGCCAGCCTTACAACCTTAAAAAACCCACACGACACATAGCTTCTTCTCTTGACACATCTGTGTTGCACAGAGCCCAGCACGGATTTCTGCCTCCATAGTCTGGGTCTTCTCTGTTCTTTCCTGATTGCACATTTTTTTCTTCATCTTGAAAAATCCCATCAATTAAAAAAACAGCACACAGAATAGTGTCTTCAGTGGGGTGGATGTAAAGGCACTTTTGTGGTTCGGCTGACTGTTGTGGCAGTCGGCTGAGTTCCGCTGGGAAAAGGGCAGTTCTACTGAAGCAGGTCTCCAGTGTTCAGAACCTGGGGCATGTTTGGGATTCATGGGAGACTTGGAAGCGAAGGAGCTTCGCAGACTTAAAAGACTGGCTCACGTCTTTAAAAGACCAGTCCTGATCCCGTCTGCAGCCTCCCTCGTACTTTGTAGTGAAGTTTGGGCCAACTTTTGCCGTGTTTTTTAAGAAATTATGCTTACTTGTATATTATCATTATTATAAAAACATATAAACCACTTGCAGGGGTCAGCAAACTTTTTCAGCAGGGGGCTGGTCCACTGTCCCTCAGACCCTGTGGGGAGCCAGACTATATTTTGGAGGGGGGAAAATGAACAATTTCCTATGCCCCACAAATAACCCAGAGATGCATTTTAAATAAAAGGACACGTTCTATTCATGTAAAAACACCAGGCAGACCCCACAAATAACCCAGAGATGCATTTTAAATAAAAGAACACATTCTACTCTCATAAAAAACACGCTGGTTCCAGGACCATCTGCGGGCTGGATTGAGAAGGCGATTGGGCCAGATCCGGCCCCCGGGCCTTAGTTTGCCTAAAGGTAAAGGTACCCCTGCCCGTACGGGCCAGTCTTGACAGACTCTAGGGTTGTGCGCTCATCTCACTCTAGAGGCCGGGAGCCGGCGCCGTCCGCAGACACTTCCAGGTCACGTGGCCAGTGTGACATTGCTGCTCTGGCGAGCCTGCACCAGCGCAGCACACGGAAACGCTGTTTACCTTCCCGCTGTTTACAGTGCCACCCGCGTCCCTTTAGTTTGCCTACCCATGACCTATTATGGCATCTTTTTATCAAGGGTTATAGTGGCACGTATCCTAAGACTTGGGCTGTATCCAAGCAGACACGTGTAAATGAATGAACATGCCTAACTTAAGTTTCATTAATAGTGGTGAGTCTACATAAGCTAATTCATTTTTTAAAAAACCAGAGCAGTTTACAGCAACTGGTGCATACCATAAAAACCCTGTTTCTAATGCCGCTACTCTCCAACCCGGCTTCGAGGGCTGCCGCTACTCTCCAACCCGGCTTCGGAGGCTGGATGTGTGGCCAAGCACTTGAATTTCTAAAGGCGAGGAAATATGGAGGCTGAGTAGCTTTCCAGAGGATCGATTCAGCCTCCTGTCAATTTCACATCGCCATTCCTGCGTAATAATCCATTTTGCTATTCCACATCATCCCAGATGTGTTTGGGTTTCCTGGCACCCTAAAAGTAGGAGACACAGGTATGATTTTTTGACATATAATAATACAGAGCTGCTGGAGGAGACTCTTGAGAGTCCCATGAACTGCAAGAAGATCAAACGTATCCATTCTTAAGGAAATCCGCCCTGAGTGCTCACTGGAAGGACAGATCCTGAAGCTGAGGCTCCAAGACTTTGGCCACCTCATGAGAAGAGAAGACTCCCTGGAAAAGACCCTGATGTTGGGAAAGATGGAGGGCACAAGGAGAAGGGGACGACAGAGGACGAGATGCTGGGACAGTGTTCTGGAAGCTACCAGCATGAGTTTGACCAAACTGCGGGAGGCAGTGGAAGACAGACGTGCCCTGGTCCAGGGGGTCACGAAGAGTTGGGCACGACTAAATGACTAAACAACAACAACAAAATGCAGAGCAGCTGTGGATTCCTGGAGTTTGAACCCGCAAGGGATTTATACATACCCTGTGCTCTGATTTCCTTAGTATCCCGAGGTGAGATATGGCTAGTGTTGGGCTGGCCCTGGGAGAGCCGGGTTCGAATCTCCAAGAAGCTCACTGGCTGACCTTGGAGACAGTCGCCTAACCTACCTCACAGTGACGAGGAGAACCATGGACACCACCTGGAGATCCTTGGAAGATAAAGGTGGTTTTTAAATGAAATAATAATAAATGAACGAATGGATGGCCTGGCTGCATTATCTCCCTCCTTCTGCCAATTGAGGAGAGCCGCTTTTGCAAAGGGAAGCTTTCTCGATGCTAAAGGGAGAGGAAAGCCTTTTTGCATGAAGTTCATGCAGGTGCTTTCTGATGAACTGGGAAGAGATGTCTTGGGAAGGGTGGAGGAAAGCAAAAATGTATTGTTGTAAACAAAAACTGCCCTTTTCCCTTATGGGGTATCCAAGAGCCCATATAGAGTCCTTACATAGGTTCTCTATTGGTAGGAGAAATAACAGAGGCCAACCAGAGAATATTGAGAAGCAATGCAGCTAGTAAGCTTGATCTTTATTGATCTGTTGCAACGGGGTGCTCCCCTCACCCGCAGGAGAGAGGAGGAACCCAGAAAAATGGCGCTCAAGGCCTTATAAAGACTTTTGAAATTGCCACAATGTAGATCAAGACCACCCCCAGAAACATCATACATACATCACAGAAGGGGTGTAACCTAAGACCAGCCCTCAGATACATCACACCTACATCACAGAAAAGGCGGTCTAAAACAGAAATTTGAATGTTGTTTTTCTCCTGTCCTTGTTTATCTCCTGTCTGGCAGGTCACTTGATTGGATTTCCTGGGGAGCCTGGCCATCCTTTTGTAATGATAAATACTTAGTTCCTGGGCCAGGTCACAGGCTCACACCCTAATCATATCTTAAATGTGCCCTTAAGACAGGATTTCTGAGGAAAGAGACAATGGGGAGGTTTCCCACTTTGACCTTGCAGAGAAAACTTTTGCTCAGTTTAGGAGTCAAAATGGTTCCAGGTCGGTCTTCCTGTGCTGATCTATGTATGTGCTTGGTTGGTACACTTATGAACATCACCATATATCTAAGACCTCAAAATTCCTATCACAGTATCATCCAGGGAATTTATTTTTTTTATTTTTTGGTTTCTGGTTCTCCAGGGTACCAAGAATCAATCTCCTGAACAATCGTAGAGTTGGAATCGGGGCCCAAGGGTCATCTAGCCCAACCCCCTGCAGCCGAGTTAGAAAAATGGTAGTTGCCCGTTTGGAAACCAAATAGATCTTTTAAAACTTTTTATCGGTTTTCGTTCTTTGGGTTTTATGTTTTTATATGTTGATTTGTTTGTGAATGAATAATAATAACATTTTTTCACAAATGAAAAAAGGGAGAAAGTAGAGAAGTAAAATGAACTGCACCCTTTAAGTTTGCTGATATTTTTTTATTCTGAAATTTTATTTTATTTTGAAATTTTATTTTATTTTGAAATTTTATTTTATTTTGAAATTATTTTATTTATTTTATTTTGAAATTTTATTTTATTTTGAATATTTATTTATTTTATTTTATTTTGAAATTTTATTTTATTTTGAAATTTATTTATTTATTTTATTTTGAAATTATTTTATTTATTTTATTTTGAAATTTTATTTTATTTTGAATATTTATTTATTTTATTT